AGATTTAAACGAGGAATTACTCAATTTAGGATTCGTTGCTGTTGTTAATTGCTATTCACTATCTTTGGTTCTATAATGGTTTATGCTATCAATAAGAACAATCGTGATTCTTGACCGATTTTTATGAACGAGATCTCATTTTAAAGACGAAAATACAATCTAGGACATACCTTTTTCGAAATTTTAAAAAAGTTTTATTTTCTTTTAAAAAAATCGTGTCAAAGAATGATATTTTTTTCGAGAATACGTTTATGCACGGATAAAAGGCTTTTTCAAAAATTCGAAAAAGATATGTATTGGACAAAATCTTCGTCTTCAAAATGAGATCTCGTTCATTAAAAATTGTTCAAGAAATATGTCTGTTTTCGTTGTTGGCGTAAATGCAATTTTCAATATTTTTCGCGTAGATAATGTTTTTTACTGTGGTATCCCTCGAAATTTGCGACAAAAGAAAAAAGCTCGTATCCTCGCTACTGATTTTCATATACACGCTTGAATGATGTAAGTTTATCAATAAAACTTACATCCATTCAAGCGTGAAATGGAGATTGCCTGTCTATTTGTGACACATAAATAGTTAACGCTAAGATTTTCTAAACAATTCCAAACGCAAAGAAATGGATTTCACAATGATCGAGATTTAATTTGATATTGAAACATAGAAGAATTAAATTACATTATTTTTATTTATTAACGTTAATATATACATAATTATCAACAACGACACCATTCATCGTTAGATAAGTATAAGGATTTAATAAAGAAAAAACAAATTTCTATTATCAATGATTTAGATTTTGTTTTGATTTTAAAATAATAATAATAGTAATAGATCTGAGTAAACGATATTTACTTTTCGTATAGTGTGTATCGTTTTTTTTTTTATTATGCGTATTCAATCGAAATTCAATATCCGGCTAAATGGCCGCTTAAATATAAGCTATATGTACATGTTTAACGAGAAAGAAATAATCAAAAATTTTCTACGACAATTAACAAACAGATTTAATATATCTTCGAAGTAAATTTATTTGTTTATTTGAGAAATATAATTTGCATATTTTTTTGAGCTTGCTTTTGTTTGGTATTTATACTAAATAGAAAAATGTCTGTCATACAAATGTGAATTGTCACACAGAGTTTATACATTAATACGATAGGCGGATGATATTTCTCTAAGTGCAATACTCGTAGTTCATATTTCGTCCGTATCTAACGCTGATAGTCACAAACGTTTCGATCGAAAGATGGTGAACATTCTTAATAACTTTAGATATATTGATCGATAATACTTTCAATTATTATATATCATTATCATTAACAATCATGCAAGTGACATTTTTTAATATAAAATTTCTTTTTCTTTTGTCATAGAAATATCTATTTTAAAGAATCGTCATTTCCTTTTTTTCTCCATACAACGCCATCTTGATTTCGAATCGATGAATTTGAACGATTTACTTAATTTCTATCGATTTTATTCTTTTGTAATTTTTTTTTTCTTTTTTGTTTATTATTATTATTATAAGTTGATTGTCATAGGACTGTTTAGAAAATACGGAGTAATTTTGAAAAAGCAGAATTTCTTCTTCTTTTTTTATTTTTTTTTTATATTTTTTTTTTTCTTCTAAAGTCATTGTTTCCGTTATGAACGTACAGCGCCATCTTCTCTCGTGGTATCGTCATTGCTTCGAATGCACGACGATGAGTGGTGTCGTATGCAGGAACTCTTCTGCTTGTGTGGACAAGTGTTCCTATAGTTGTGTTTGTCGTACTTTGTTATATTACTACTTGTAGGTATTCCAATAAAGAAACATTCGTGATGGTGCCGGTAGTTTTGTTCTTAGGTCAATACGGAAGATGCGGCTTACACGTTGCAATACTTTTATTATTCGTTGCTTATGTTATGTAAAACAACGAGAACAACGTAAGAATGAGATCTTTCGTATTAATATTAAATTCCAATGAATTCTTATGGGATTATTCCAATTAAATATTGAATGTTTTAATTTTATCATTCGTACCTTTCTATAATTATCGAAGAACATAGAATTTTATTGCATTTTATATTGTATGTGTTTTAATTTTTTTTTTTCCTTTTTTTTTTTCCTCACATATAACCTATCATTTTTATTTCTATTTTGAACAAACAAATAATAACGGAATAAATGTGTTTGATTTGGTTTGTCAAAAAGTTCCAAGAGACGGCAACAAGATATTAGAGAGATTGTGAATATGGCAGAGAGCGGAACAGAGTCAAAAACTATTGATAATCAAATGAACAAGAGTCAAATGGATGTCAGCGAATGTCTTGGCAATTGGCTCATTTATTTGCAGGTATATATATATATATATTTAAAGTATAGCTACAAATCTTTATCAGAATATTAAACTTTTTTTTTCTTTACAGACTCTCAATGGTCTTTGTACGGCTGGTACTAAATTGGCACAATCTCTTCAAGCACTTTTATCCGTACATGATACTGTTGCTCAGTATCGTTTGTCTGGGCAATGCCTTGCTGGTTGGGAAGAATTATCAAGAGCTACAAATGTTGCCAGTAATACAGTTAAAAATCATGTGATCGCTGCCTTAAAGGATCATGAAGCCAGAAATAACGAAGGAGATAAACATGTCAGTAAAAGACATGTTAGTTACAATTTAATTATAAGTAAGATAACATCATTCATTGGACTTTTCTTTTAGGACATTCTCAGAGACAATTTGTTAACATTTATTAATTTGCAATATCAATTTTGTGTGGCCTGTTGCGAATGCCTTGGTAAGAGGATAACATTAATTTTATACCTTATCATGAATTCCTTATGTAAATACTATAATGTTAAATCTACATGTAGGTGGTATGGCTGAATGTTCTTGCTCACAGAGTGGTAGTGCTGATTGTGATATAGCTGCGCTTCAACAATGTTTCGAAAGATTATATAGATCACCAATTTCATCTTCCACGACGCAGCAACCGGTACAAAATTGTCACAGATCACCTTTACCATATCCATTGTTTCCTCTGCAGGTAGATAATATTAACTTTATGAAATTTTTTATTATATATCAATAATTATATTCCTTAATTAAGGTCCAGAGGAGATGGTCTGAGACAGCTGCAGCAGATATGTCCGGAGAATCTTCAGAAAATACTATGAGAAGATGGTCTATGCCGTGGGATTGTCGTCATGTTACAGAATGGCCGCGACAGGAAGTTAGATCGAGACTTAAAGTACCCCATCAAGATCGTAGTAGATCTACTACACCTGATTCCGTTTGGAAAGCCTCTGCAATGGCTAGTCAAGATGGTCTTCGCGAAGCTATTCAACTTCTGTCTTGTAAACCAGGTAGAAATAAACTTTAGCAAGGATTAGTGTAATCGACAAAGTAATTAATAAGATATATATGTATATATATTTTTTTTTTATTGACTATAGGTATAAGGCCATCGAATCAGTTATCGGTTTACACTACTCAGCACATTCCTGGTGTGACTTTAACTACATGTAATTATGAAACAAATTACGATTCAACGGTTTGGCCTGAATCACGTAGAGTATGTTCACCAAGATGTTGGCCACACGATTCTCATTCGAGCGATCATTCCGATCAATCTGGACATCGTGACAGCGATCAAAGTGTTCACAGTGGAGATCATAGAGATTCAGGTAAAATTTATAATCCATTTAATTAGATAGTTCAAGCAATATGATCGTTTGTTTTCCCACCACAGAGCAGAGTGTTGCTAGTGGTAGTGGTTATGGGGATAGCAAAGATAGCATTCATTCTCATAGCGATCACAGAGATAATGAACTTGGTAAGTTTTTGCTACATAAGGTAGATTAAAAGGTACAGGAAATATTTTTTACTTTCATAGGAACAACGGAGGCTTTACCATCACGAAAAAGTAGTTCTTCGACCGATTCTTGTGTCTCTGCTTATAGTCGTTCTGGTTCTGAAAGTGCTGGCGGTGGGGTATGTGTTAAAACGATTGACAAATAATTATTCCTTCCGATCAAAAACTCAATTTTTATACTCTCGGTATATTTATAATTTTTAGGAATGTTCAAGGTCTCAGTTATACTGTATGTGGAGCGGTAACGATGTACCTTTCATTAAATTACCAGAAAGCAGTGAAGTGCAGGACGAACATCCGCCGACCTAAAGTGTGTGTTATTTTCTACTAGCCCCATCTCTCCCCCCACCCCTCCCCCCGGTTTCATGTAATTTGATATCGTGTCGACGAATTAGTGAATGTTAATTTCATTCGAAACTTATAAAACAGAAATATCTGTAAAACTAAATGGCCAGACAATGTTTTTAATGTAGCAGAATCACATAGTGATTCGACGAATTCCATTGGTGACATTTACATGTTTGATATTTAATGAGCGCAGTATGACAGCGGATTTTAACTTTTAATGGCTCATATAGATTGTGGGTCTATATAAAAAGAAAAGAAAAAAAAAGGAAAAGGAAAAAAATAAAAAGAAAATAAAAATAAAAATAAAGAAAAAGAAAAACAAACCAAAAGAAAAAAAAAATCACATAACTATTGTTATCCGTTATTCTTTCATATTTATACTCCAAACGAAAGATTAACCAAGTTCCAAAGTAAATTTAATCGATTGGAACTTATCAAAGTATGAAAAGACTATGTGAAATTTGTTGTAATAATATAATTACGTTATTGTCGTGAGTCGATACATTTCAGTGCAATAATGAAACATATCATAGCTCATAATTTATTACAAATAACAGTGCGTATCGTACATTGTGTTAATTAGTAATGATTTTGTAATTAATGCGAAAGAATCGCATTATCGAGCGAAGATGTAATAAATTCGTAAATCAATAATTTAGTTTCGTATTCGGCAGTGTTACTCCGAAATGAGGTACGAGAGGAAGTACAATAAAGAGAGAGAGAGAGAGAGAGAGAGAGAGAGAGAGAGAGAGAGAGAGAGAGAGAGAGAGAGAGAGAGAGAGAGAAAGAGATAAATAGATAGATAAATTAGCCGAATAGTATATTTGACGTATTTACAATTTTATTCGTATGGCACAGTATAATTGATAAAACATACGATTCGATAAGTCGGTAAATTAAATAGATATTCCCGAGAAAAGGAGGTCGTTTCAAACGAATTAAGTGATTCTTTTCGATATGCCGCTGCAGTCATGTACAGAGACGAGTCGAACCTCTAAAATATTTCCTTATCGAACAGACATTTCTTTGTGTTGCCTATTCCACCGATCCAATTCGACTTTTGTCGAATTCGTTTTTCCAAAAGGAACTTTAAGTTCTGGACGATGCATTGACTTAAATATTCATTAAATATTCCTTAAAAATTTTTTTCCCTTCTAAAGAAACCGATAGTCCTTTTAAAATTCTTAAACGCTAAGAGGATCACACTAGAGGATAAATATTCTCTATCCGGTGTTCCTTATATAACAAGCCCTTTTTGTTATAATTGCACCGTTAAAAAAAAAAAAAAAAAAAAGAAAAGAAAAGAGAAGAAAAAGAAAAAAAAATTGAAGAAAAAAGAAACAACAACAACAACAACAACAAAGTTCCTCTCCGTTACGGATCAACTTGTAAATTTTGTCTATCGTTGATTAGATCATCTCACATTGGGAAAACAATGATGGATTTTGTTGAAATTGCACTTTACGCGAATATTTCGCTTAGTTCGTACGACCTTTTTTTCAATTTTCCCTTCGTCATCTAATCGATCTCATCCTCCGTTAATTCATCTTCGTCCTGACCAAAATCATCGTATTGATCCTTCAGGTCATCCTCCTCTTTATCCATTGGACAGTGAATACACCTGGATTCATTGATCCCGTAATTGATGCACGTGTCGCCAATACACTCGCAGCAGCCATCGTGGAACCACCTATAGCTGGTTGCACCCATACTCTGACAGGAAGCTCGACACTTGTTCCAAGAGTTACACTGTGCCATGAACGCCACAGTACAGTTCACCGTCATCACGTTTGGCTTCAAAGGATGCATCTCTTCCTCCGCGGTTTCTATATCAAGCACATATATTCCGATACATTATAATCTTCAATTAAGTGTCGCATGTTTTTTCTGTCTTTTTTTTTTTTTTTTTTTTTTCCTTTTTTTTCTGTTTCTTTTTTGTTTATTTTTCTACTTTTTCTTATTTTTCTTTGGTTTGATCATTGAATTGAAAACTTTTACAAGTATTAACTATTAAGGGAAAAAAGTTTTCTTATCGGACACTCACGCATGTGATATTTGATTTCTTTTTCTTGCTTCGGCGCGAACAAGGACATATCAAAATCCACCGGATAGGTAAAGGTGAGCCAACGTTCGTGCGGATCCGGTTCTGCTGTAAGAGCTTGGAAGAGACCAGGTACCGGTTCGCTGAAATCTTCCACGTGGGATTTTTTGCTTAACGGGTTGTCCGTGATGTTCGGCTTTGGGCAAAGATCTTTAAAAACATCGATAGAAGGAATATTCAATCTCTGCTGGTTATAATCATTTTATATTCTTTTATATATTCATTTTTAAATTGATTGAAATGATTCTTCTTTAGGGGGTTGGCGACGGTTCGGGAAGGGGAAGGAAGGGGCGACGACGGGGAATTTTTTCTTTTTTTTTTTTTTGTTTCGCTTCTTTTCCTTTTTTTTTCTTTTACGGAACTTACCGACGCAAGAGCAACACTCGTCGTAGAGGTAGCTGAGACATGAGAAACACTCTTTGCAGCAGGTACAGGTGACGAGGTCGCATTTACAACTTTGAGTGAGCATGCACTTACTAACGACGCTTGCACAGATCGCTTCGTTGCAGGCTTCCGAGTAATCCGTTCTAGTCGCCAGGAGAAGAATTCCGATGGTAAACGCGGTGATCAGCGCGCTCCGGCACGTCATCGTGTTCTGAACAAAATTCGTGAATGGAATTCATTATTTCCACGATGCGCTATGAACAAGTCGATGCCAAGGAAGAAAGAAAGAGACAGACAGACAGACAGACAGAGAGTGAGAGAGAGAGAGAGAGAGAGAGAAAGAGCCAGGCAGTTCGCGTCTTTTTCAACGTTTCGGCCGACGACACACGTTGATTACGACGATAACGCTCGATTAAGATTATTAAGAATATTCATGAACGTGAGTCAGTACTTTGTGATGAGAGAGAGAGAAAGAACGAGCGAGAAAGAGAGAGAGAGAGAGAGAGAGAGAAAGAGAGAGAGAGATAAGAGAGAGATTGTACGTGTGAGAGCGAAAAGAACGAAAATTTCAGTCCAACGCGAATACTGGACTACGCGTTAAACCGAAGTCCGATTGCGTCGTACTTTTCAACTGTCATAGGAAAATCACTTGTAGGCGTGCGATAATAGTTAAAACTATACTGCGATATGTTTACATTATCTCAACGATATATTAAAACGAACGATAATGATTTTAAATTTAATATTTCATATAATTCTTTTAATACTTTTCTTTTTTCTTCTTTTTAATTTTCGCAGAATAAAATTACTCGCGTGTTACGAGTTGAATTGCGTCATAATTAAATCTATATTGATATGTTTACATTTTCTCGTCGTATAGGAGAGATCGAATGATCTTCATAATAATGAATTTCAAAACTCATCGATTGATATTTATATTTTTTTCATTGGACGTGAGACCGAATGAGAAAATTGTTTTAAATTTAATATTTCATTTATTTCTTTCAATACTTTTTTCTGTTTTCGCAATTTTTTTTTCTTTTTTTTCCTTCTTTCGTTTTTGTAACCATCACAAAATCACTTTTTTGTAAACATCACACGCGCCTGCGTTCATAGTTTTCCAATTATATTGATATAATTAAAATTTTTTCAATTTATATGAGAACGAATGAAAATTATTTAAATTGTACGCATGTTTCGTATTTGATTCAATACTTTTAAATTGTCATGAATATCGATTGTGTACGATCGTAAGTTAAAAACCTATCTCCTAAATCTACATTTTCTTGTGTTATATGAGAAACAAATGTATAAATCATTGAGATATCGCGCATTTGTATTAACACATTATTATTAAGAACATTCACGATTATTATTGATTTTTCAAATAACGAGTAGTAATCGAGAATGAAACATTTAGAAAATATGAGGTCGCAGAAATGATCGCCGATGAATCGCGGTGTGAATCAGTAAATCGCATGTCAAATCGCACACACGTTATAATCCAATGCAATGCAATTACGTTGAATACAGTTGTATCTTTCTAAGGTGCCAATTAAATGTCTATTTATATCGAGTATAACCACATTTTGATATATATATATAAAACCTTATATATATATATATATAAAACAATAAGGTGAATCACTAACTCGAAAACATATATGCGCGTGACAGGAATAAACAAGCGTATTGACCACGGAATAAATTTATATTAAAATTCATTTCGATTGAGAACAAATTGTCATATTTTACATACATACTTCCGAGAATAAAATGAAAAGTCCGTAGACTGTATAAGAGTTTTCGTTTAGGCGCGTGGTCTCGAAGACATTAACGGGACGACTAACAGGACCGGCGTTTAGTTCAGCTTTTTCAAACCTGGATCCCCACTTTAATTTTAAAAAGGTTCCAACGTAAACCGAGAGACGGTGTCGCACCATTGAATGGAGTGGAGTAGTACGACTTTTACGATGACGATGACGACGACAATGACAACAACAATCATGACTTTCAACCAATTATCGAGTATTCTTCTTTTATGTTAGCGTGTCTAATACACTGATCAATGTGCTACCCCATTAATCTTTTCTCTTTCTCTCTCTTTAGCAACCCTTAGAGATATAGAAGCGATTGTGTACTAAGAAAGAGTAATTATATTTGATTTTGAAGTGACAGAATAATACTTATTACTGGATTAATGATTAGAATTAGATGTTTCTCTTTCCTTTTCTTTTTTTTTATGAACGATTTAATTTGTATCCTTCGTGATTATACTTTTCCTATAAACATATGCTAATTTTAAATCGTTGATCATTGTAATGAAGAAGAGTTTAAATCAATGACGTTTTATCGTATATTCTTACAGGTAAAATAGTAATTAGATTGTTTACGTTGAAGACGCGCCGATGCGTATCCGATGGCTCTATAGAAATTCCATTTCGATCGAAGTATAGACGTTGTCCGTCATCGTCATGGACAGACGCGTGCTTGTTAGAGCCTCGCCTTGTTCTGGCCCGAGGCGATGGAATAACTTCAATAACAAACGGCAATCGACTCCATGGATGAAAGGCAACAGTGATGTGTATGTGTGTGTGTGTGTGTGTATGTGTATGCGTGTGCATGTGTGTATATGTATATACCTAGCGTGGTCGCATAAAATGCGAATAGACGAAGGACCGCAGTCTGTGTTTCTCTTTTTAATCCTTAATAAGTCGTATTTATTTATGTCAAATGATCTACGAACAGTATCAATGATATTCGATTTCTAAGGATCGATACTATGATTTTTTCATATCAATCAGTTGGATCCAATTCATAGAAACAATTATTTTTCTAACAGTTTCATCTTTGCAATTTTATTACGGACAGATTAGAAGAGAAAAAAAAAAAAGAAAGAAAAGAAGCAAAAGAAGAAGAAAAAGAAGTGAAAGTTCATTGTCAAAGTTTCTGAATGTTGAAAAAAAATCTTTCTGGATCGATCGGATCTCTCGATCTGGGTGCGATTGGATCTCTCTCTCTCTCTCTTTCTCTCTCAAGCGCGCGCGCGCATTTAATTACTTACCTCTGATCTCGTAGAGAGACGGTGCGCATTTGGATTATATCGATATTTACCTTCCACATCTATCGGCGTATTTCCAGCGAACAGGAGCCCGCTCGTACCAGTTACCTACGCGTGAGAAACTATTTTAAGAGCGCGCAACCGGTTCGCGTTGCGACTGGTACAAGACATTTCCTTCGTGAGCCGCGGCGTCTTGACTGTTGAAACTCATGTCTAAGAAGAACTCGAAGAAGAAGTGGTTCCTCAATGGAGGACACTGGGGACCAGGTGAATCCTTTGGAATATTTGTTATCGGTTAAACCATTGGAATTGATAGTATCGTTAGACCAAACGATATTGATCGTTTATAAAAATAAGTTCGGAGTTTCGTTTTTCTTTCCTTTTTTTTTCCCTTTTTTTTCTCTGTTTTTTTTCTTTTTTTTTTTTTCCTTTTCTTTTCCCTTCTTTTCGATTCCTCTCTTATTCGATAATTTTCTTATTTTTCTTCTTCTTTCGGTATGTTTTTCTTAAGTGAACTAACTCTCACCCATCGAGTAATACCGTTACGACACTTTGCTCGATACGCTGTGCTTTGCGACACTGCCTGTTTGCTCATTGAAAAAATACAACTGGTGAACGGAGATTACGAAGGAGAGGAAAAGGAGAAAAGAAAGGAAAAGAAAAGGAAATGGAATAAGAAGAAGGAAGAGAGAAAATCAGAGTTTCATGATTGTCGATTGAATCCTAAGGTTGATGTCCTGGGGTTAAAGAGAGACAGAGAGAGAGAGAGAGACAGACAGACAGACAGAAAAAGAGAGAGAGGGAAAGAGAAAGAGAAAGAGAAAGAGAGAGAGAGAGAGAGAGAGAGAAGTAGAGTAAAAGAGATAGAAAGAGAGGAGTTTGCGAGGGGGCAAACTTTTTGAAAAATCACTTGAAAACGGTGCACGGCGGCGATTCGTAGCGGGTGTGACGAATCGAAGAGCGGCTCTCATTGGACTGAATTAAGGAAGAGCGTGGACCGAGAGGACCGCCGCCGTAGCGGAAGGCGATGGCAAGAGGAGGAGAAGAAGAAGGAGGAGGAGGTGGAGGTGGAGGAGGAGAAAAAGGAGGTGGTGGATGATGGTGGTGGTAGCGATGAGAGTCGTCGACAGGAGTGGAGAGGAGAGAAAAACTAAAGAAAGAAGAGAGACAGAAAGAGAGAGAGAGTTGGGTAGTCCGGACTACTGACTGCACGAGACTGGTTTTTGATTTTTTCACGACTTTTTGTTTTACCTGCTCTCCTGTTGCCTTTACCAACCACCATCTTTCTCTCTCACTCTCTCTCTCTCTCTCTCTCTCTCTCTATCTCTCTTTCTCTCTATCTGTCTCCTACTCTTCCTTCGCGTCCCACCTTTGAGAAACGGTGTAACGGAGTCTCGAGGGACTCCTTGAAGATCGGCAAAGTCGGTCGAAATATTTTGCGAAAAAAAGAAAAATATTTGAACGTCTACTTTTTTCTTCTCTTTTTTTCTTCTTTTATTTATTCATTTATTTATTTATTTTTTTTTTCTTCTAATCGCTTCTTCGTAATTAATTAATTAATTGTAAAGTATTCAATTATGAATACTTTTGTGCGAACGAGTTACAACTTTTTTACGTAGGTTCGTCTATGAGAAAAAAAATTTATATTTATCTTTAATAAATGTCGTTTGCTGTTGTTGTCAATAGAAGCCAAGAAGGCGCGGTGTTAAATATCATTTAAATTCCATCGCGCTTCGTTCTACCTGTGAATCGTTAATGAAGTAAACAGAGTTAGGTTTGAATCATCATTATCATCATCATCATCATCATCATCGTCATTATTTACAATAAGATGCCACCTTGCATTCTTGAGTTTGCCGAGCCTTTGACAAATGCAATTATGATAATCCATTTGTTTAAAAATACAATTACTTAGGTAATTTTAATTCGAAAAATAAACATTGATGAAAGTGATTGTAATAAAGTAAAAAGAATGTAATAGTTTATGATTATGAACGATAAATGATTGCTATACTTTTCTTGAGATTCGCTTCGGGGAAGGGGGAAGGGTAATGTATGGTTCAACAGCGTCCATTTCATCGTTGACAATCGCGTGTATTAAGGAAAAAGAAGAAGAGGGGGTTGCGATTATCGGCCACTGCGATCGTGCTCGAGTACGAGCTCGTATATAATATACATATGTACATTATATATATATATATATATATATATATATATATATACACATGATAGTGAGAAACTGAAATAATGATTGGTGGGTAGGGGTAGACTTTTTAAAAATTTTTTCTAAGCGTCCATTATGTCCCTCTTTGCAAAAAGTATTAACGGGTTATAATATACGATATATTAATCAATAATATGATTTTTCCATACGATTAGAGTGTTATATCTTTATTACGTTATTATCGTTGACAACAAAAAAGAAAAAGAAAAAAAAAATAAACGAAAGAAAAGAAAAAGAAGAAATATTTGAGTTTAAAAATCGTACCTTCGTGAATTGATGACGACAGAATGATTCCGAGTAATACCACCGGGGAATGTATAAAATTAGAGAATATTAGGGGGATAACGTGTGGCAGTTAGAAAGGGAAATTGAAGAAAATGAAAGGAACATGATCCCCCCACCATTCGTCATTATAGTTTCTCACTGTACATACGTATGGCTGTCTGAAGAATGGATGGATATACGGAGATACGAGGTTGTACGTCGTCCATCGTGCAACCTCTCATTTCCCTCCTACTGCAATCAACGGCATTTAAGCCTGGGTTCCGAGCGTTTAAGCATTTAGTCGGCTTCCGCCATATCTCTACACGTATTCCGAGCATTTTTTTATGGATACATGGCTAACACCGACCCCTCCCGTCTATCCCCCTTGCCACCCCTGCCCCTTGTCTGACAGATACTTCCTGGAATACTGACATAAGGATCGCAAAGAGAGAGAGAGAGAGAGAGAGAGAGAGAGAGAGAGAGAGAGAGATGAGACGAGACGAGACGAGACGAGTCTCTCTTTCTCTCTCTCTCTCTCTCTCTCTGGAGATAGGCCAAGCAGATTATCGATAGGTCATCTTAAATCGATACGCAGAAACGACGATCGATGTCCGCGATGGCTTTATGGAACTTCATTGGTACGTTATTAAACGAATCTTTCATTTACTTTTAACGATAAGGAGAATTGCGATCGAATTATTTTTTTATAAATCGAGTTAAAAATTATAAACGAAATATATTGAAATTAGGAAAGTAAATAATATCAGTACATTGTCATATAATATCGTTTAATTAATAATATTAACATATATAATTTTTAGATTGGTTTTCATCGATTGATTCGAACGGACGAATTGATTTTTAACGAGCGTACGAAAACAGACAGGCTTCTCGTAAGTGAGGGTAAATTCATTCTTCGGAGAGGAACTTGAATGTTCTCGTTCCTTCGCTATAGGTGGTCCTCCGTTTTCAAGTAGATACATGCCTGTATGGCATCAGCCGTGAAACTTGGATCACCCTGAAGAATGAAGAAGAACCATCGGCACAACCATCACTACCACCACTACATCAGAACACCACTACCACTAGCATCATCACCACCATTACCATCACCATCAGCATCACCATCGTCTTTCGTGGTGGATCCTCGTGATGAGCACAACATCGGCTTTAGTAAAGATTCGAAAGGAATGGGACACGATCGAAGAGAGGACCGCACACGTATAGAACACCGCGTGTGCGTGACTTTGCGGCTTTCGGCTTTCCAAGATCGTTTTCTTTTTTTTTTCTTTTTTTCTTTTCTTTTTTTTTTTTTTTTTTTCTTTTTTTTTTACGGGAGGACGAACCGAACTCGAAAAGACAAAAGGCCCTGAGGAAAGATGTAAAGTGGGAGAAGATTGTTAGAGAGAGGGAGAGATAGAGAGAGAGAGAATGTCAGGTATACGAAGGTCGTTAGCTCGAAGAAAAATTAGCCGTTTGTCGGAGAGAAGTTCTGGGCCTAAAGATGGGTCAATCAGATACGAAAACACTTGTCGGTTCAAGCATTGTCCGAAGGTAACAGGTCTACAAAAGATTGTAGACACAGGTATACCGTCCTAATGACTGACCTAAGGAATTCAAACCTTTACGAGTCCTTGAATTTTTTTTCTATCCTCTCCTAATCTCTCTTTTTCTTTCTCTTTCTCTTCCATTCTCTCATATCAGGATATTTCCTTCCTCCGGTAAATCGTCTTAAATTTATCTTCAACTTACTCGCTCGTGTCATTTCAGTCAAAACTGAGTAAGGATAATTTGCCAGCTATAGCGGACCGATGATAAAATCTTTGTTTTAATTTTACAACAAATGCACTTACCGTGGGGCTCATCGTAAACCTTCGCAAATGTCTCGTCATAGGGATACTTTGTCATTTTCTTGAAAATAAAAAAGAAAAAAAAAAAAAAAAGAAAAAAAAAGAAAAAGAGAGAAAATGTTCTCCTTTTGTACAGGAAATAAGTATTACTTTTCAAAGTTTTATCGTTAATCAGTTTTTATGATTCATCAAAAGTATCTCTATCGTCGGTCGGAAGTGAAAAGTCGTGTTAGTGGACAAATGGTAGCGTTTTCTCGTGGGTATAATCGTAAAACTTAACGCTTTCCCTTCTTCCAATTTTTCGAGGGTGAAAAACACGCTTCTTGTTTGCCGTAAGAATCGAGATAAGCCTATGAGTCATAAAACGAGAAGAATGTGAAAAAGGTAAATGAGTTTATGGCTTTTGCTTTCAAACGTGTCAATTTACTTCGCTAATCAACTTTACAAAGGCCTCATTATGTCTATGAAAATGATTCGTTGATTACGTCATTTTTAATAGACATTAAACGTTAGAAATTTATTAACTTTATGATAAAAAATGAACGTTTTTATTATTGCTTTTCTAATATCGTTGATCGGTCGGTAAAAGAGTCGGTTGGCTTCCATCGTAATAAGGAAGATTTCAGACGGTAAAGAAGTTTATAATTCTTATTACCATCAAATGGTAATGATTAATAAAAGTTTGAAAATATGAAAACAATTTTTTCGTCCTCGATACTTTTTAATTAAATTCTAAACCATCCAGTTTATAAGAACGTTCGATCATAAAATTTAATGATGAAAAAAGGTAAAAAATTTCTTAAGCGTATTTCGAAATTTATTGATTTTATCGTTTATACATTTATAACATAAATTTTGTTATATTAGTTAAAATCTCATATCCGAGGTATCTAATATAAGATTTTTCTACGTATACTTTTTCTATAATAGGAACTTTGCTATCTCTTTGATTTATTTCTTGATAAATAAAGCAAAATCTACATAGTAATCGATATTAAAATGCGGCACTATCACCAGGGCAACGCTACGTGTCTACGGAATGGTATTATTGAAATCACGCGGAATGACATTAATATCGAGTATTTGGAACACGATGTAATGAAGCTTGTGGTATTCCAAGCGTCATATAATGTCGTTGTGCTCTTACATGTATAATCTATATTTAACTAACGACATCAATTGACCTCGATATTTTCCATCGTTCGTCGGCGGCCTGCCGGAATTTCGATTATGAGTACCGATAAAGTTGCTCGGCGAACGGCAAAAAATATAATTAAAAATAGGAAGCAATCATACGATGGATATGAATCGTCATCGAATTTAGCCTTGGTTTCTTCATTGCTATCGAATATTTTGATCAGCAAAACGTTTTATAATATATTAACCTGCGATAGGTGTTATGGTGGTAGTAGTCGTGTAATCGGTTGCAACTTCGATATCTTGCGAAAGATTTTCGTCCAACCAAGCTTCGATTATAGGAAGATTTTCTTCGCGCCAACTCACCTCCTGATCGATATTTTCCAAAGCTTCTTGAATGATGCCACTGGCTGACTCAAGTTGACCCCGTCGACTCTGATACAATTCGTACACCATGTCGTAACCTTCTTGCGTTTTGAACGAGGAAGTCGCCGAATTGACGATACCATCCCAAAGATATTTTCTATTTTCGAATCTCTCTTTAATTGTATCCCAGTGCTCAGTTAGGAAATTAAAGAGGGTCGTGTAACCCGCTACACCGCCGGTGAGCATGTTAAAGATTAGTTGAATGTCAGAATCGGTGAAGTTATCATTCTGGTCCAGAATCGTTACGTTCAAGAGCCTAAAGAAAATATATAAACGTTATAATAATTTCATTATTATTGTATACACACATATATATATGCATATATCACTTTTATCTTTCTACCTTTGAATTTTGTAAGTATCTTTTGGACAACCAGCCAATGTTTTCAAAAGATAGGTACGTTCGTTTTGCTTCCTCTCGAGACTATTTTGAGGGAAATTAATAACCCTTTGCAATCCAAATTCCCATTCATCTATGGTACCCCATTTGTATACCGGACAAATGAATTCGTTCGCGACCCTGGAAATGAAGTTTAGATTTTTTTTTTTTTATATACTTCTCACTCGTTCGTTATCGCTCAAGTAAAAAAAAAAAAAAGACATTGACAAAGTCTTACGGATTTCCTTTATCAGGTTCCGTCTCCATCAACCATTTGCTATACTGTTCTCTTGCCTCTTTAACGCAAGGCTCGTAACCAGCACGACAGAGAAAGTTCTTAGCCAATCCTCGTATGTGAACTCTCCAAGATGGTTCACACAGTCGCCCTTTATCTCCTAACTTGTCGTAAAGCGGCTTCAACAGGCTACGTATATAGGCCTAAGATATTGATAAGAATAAATTTTGGTTTTGTTGTTTCGATCAATCGACGAATTATTGTTTATCAGGATATACCTCGAATTTGACGTATACGTTGGATCCCTCGATACGTTTACCAACATGATCGATCATCGTAAAGACGGGTTCCCAAACAACGAGACTCGTTTCCTCTCTCAAGAACAATGTCATATTTAAGGCGATTCCAAAGCATAGTTCACCCGCATATGCCAGATTCCAGGAATCATGGAGGAGCTTTGCCCTGGTCAAAATTGGAATGGTTTCGCGGTTCGGTCCACGTAGAAATTGTGATAACATTTTCCAATTGCAGGGATCGTAGTTCACCGGGAACATACCTATGACGGAAGGTATTTATTTATTTATTTATTTGTTTATTTATTTATTTATTATATTTTTTTAATAAGATTGCATTTAAGTACTTACGTATTAAACGATCTCCAATCGTATAGATACTTACCTATTTCTTCTGGATTAACGATAATAAAATGATCCTTGCTGGAGATATCCTTGATCGTTAAATTTCGTGGTTCGTTTTCTTTGGTTAACCAAACGGAAGGTTTTGTTTGAGAAAAGTTCAAATTGTCTTCGGACAACATAACGATTGGTATATCCCATTGAGATAGAGCTTTGTTGTTAGGAATCGGCGGTGGTTCTCTCATATAGACTTTCTGTAAATGTGATAGATCGTATTTGCTGATGATATATATATATATATATATGTACATATATATCGTTTTACATGTATGTTCAATGTTACGTTCGTTTGATAAATTCAAAATGATATTTCTATTCATTCGTATGTCTTCGAAGGATACGCAACGTAAGTACATAGATACGTACGTAAATATTACGTCTTGCACATTCGCATAGTTTCTTTTTTTCATTTTTAATAGAGAAAGATAAAGATTAAGTGAGATATATCTATATATATATATCTCTATATGTATATATAGGATAGGTATGCGTGCATACATGTATATATATATATGTATGTGCATATGTATGTATATATGTATGTATTTATGTATATATATGTATGTATGTGTTGGTTAAACGATTACTATTTTTTTTTCTTTTTTACGTTCATGCTCATAATCATAGCTTTTTTCTACTAACAAGGCAACATGCTAGCTCTCTCTCTCTCTCTCTCTCTCTCTCTCTCTCTTCGACGGTTCCATTATGTACTGAATGGATCGGAGGATAAAAATTACGTAAGAAGATTCCTCTTCGTTCACTCGCTTCTCTCTCTCTCTCTCTCTCCTTCTCGATATTATTATTTTCTCATTTTCGCATAGTTAAATCTTTGAATTTCAAATGTTTTCCCGAGCGACGACAAATATTCGCGTATTTTTTTATATAGTTAGTTACATACATATATGTAGTATTTCGATAAATAGATACTCTTTTATCTACGTTTATAGTAATCGGTCAGAATAATTTGATGATGGCAATGTATGCATCAACGATTCGTTCTTATCCATGGGAATATGCGGTTAAACGTGATATACGCCGCGTCCCTGAGAATGAAAATACGCTTTTGTTCGATCGGACCTGCTCACCTGGCTAAGAATAATGTCTCCACTTTCGTAATCGCGAATAACCGTGACCAATGGCAATCTATCCTGGTTGATCCAAGCGGTAGATACGCTTAAAATCGTCAGTCCTTGCGGTAGATCAGCCGTTCCAGCGGCTGCCTCGTCCAGACGAGTGTAAATATCCTTGGAAACGAAGACCCGTGGTTGCCTATCAACGATTAACAAATTTTTTTTTTCCATTTCATTCTCTCTTCTTCCTTTTTTTTTTCTCTTTCTCTTCTTCTTCCTCCTTCTTTTTATTTTTTCCAAAATAACCAAGAAGCAGATTTTGTTCTGATCGTGACAACGCTAAGCATACATTTTTTATTCGCACGTATTATCTATTTTTATTTTTTTTCTCTGTAATCTTTCTTTTGTATAGTTTTTTTTCTTTTTTTTTTCTGTTATCTTTTTCTTCTTCTATCTATCTTCAACGACTCACCTAACAATATTCTCCTCCTAACGGTGACACGAAACTTTCGAGAGAAACGTTGAACTCTTACAAGTATGTATATCGATCGTGGTTACCAACCCGTAACTAAACGGATTAACGGGTATATTTAAGACGATATAAACAGACACCCGATAATATTTTTCTTACGTTTGGAACTCATAAAGATTTAGCACAGGAAATACGTGATCTAATATTATCGATTTTAGGAAATGAAATATATTTCTTAACCGTTAACCATCTAATTCTTATCTCTCAACCATCATATCCATTTCCATCGTCATCATCGTATCCAATTTTCCATTCTATACTCTTTAAGAACGAGGAGTGAAAACTGATGATGAGAGTATAATTGCCCATTGGAACGAATTACACCGAACGTTACGAATTTATCTCCCTTTGATCGGAAGTTCCTAAGTCGAAATCGACTTTGAATGAGTCCGTATAAATCTGCTTCTTGGTTAACTAATGAGACCAATTACTTCATGTCCGACTGCTGTTGAATAAAGTTCCTGACCCCTTCACGGAATACGTCCTTGCCTAACGTGTAATTGAACATTCGAAAGACCAACTCGGCTACGAATTAAAAAATGGAGATTATATGTAAGAAATGAAATTAAAAATTTTTTTTATATATTAAATCGTATTTATGTATTATGTAACTTTTAATTAAATGTAATTAAATCGATTAACGATTTACCTTTGGCCACCGTTGCTTCGTACCTGATACCAGCCACTCTTGAAAACGGCACGGTCTTTCCAAATTCGTAGTAAAGAGAGTAGAGTATCGTCATTGGCCACTTTCCTTCCATTTCGTCGGGATTGATCTATCGATCGCGGCGAAGATATTTTTTTTTTTATTTTTCTTTATTATTACCCTTTTTTTTTTGTTTACGTTTTGTTTCTTTTCTTTTTTGTTTTTATTTATTTATTTATTTTTTTTCTTTTCAGTCTGGCATATTTAAACATAGAGTCTTTTTATTTTTTATTTATTTATCTGTTTTTTTCTTTATTATTATTATTATTTTTTTTTTTTTTTTTTTTTTTTTTTCTGACGAAGGTTCGTTAACGAGACTTACGTCCACGGTCGTCAGCGAAGCGAGAAAAGAATTAAGTGTCTTGCTCACAAGAGTGTAGTTCCAAACAAATGGTGTGATGTATTGACCGATCCACTGATAGATCAATTCATAGGCTGTATTCCAAATCAGTGGACTGCTCAATTCGCTTTCTCTATGAGTAAAGGAATAAGTGATAATAGATAAACGTGTATGAGTATACATACACACGCATGCACACACGCGCGCGCGCACACACACACATACATATATATATATAAAGAAATAAGAAAGAAAAAGGAAAAGAAAAGATTTATACTTGAAAAACATTAGACCCCAACTGTCCGAAGCTTTGGCAGCACTGAACATGGGAATAGCCATGATGTCGAGCTTGGGGAGGCCGATAGAACAATTGAAATAATTTTGTAGATAGTTCATGATCTTGACGATCTTGTTCGGCACGTTCTTCAAACTATCGAGATAATCTTTCCTGGCCCATATTCTGATTTCGAGCTTTGTTCCATTGACCTCGTCGATTTCCTGCGTTGGCACGATACTCTCAAAGTCCGACACTACCAGAGCAAGCTGATAGACCGATATTTCAGGTGTTTCCATGAAATGATTCCAAATCATGTTGGGCTCGTCGAGTCTTTAAAAAAAACAAACAAAAAAAAATATATATACATATATATATATATGCATACACGTTTTTTTTCTATAATCGATGCAATATACGATACATTACTTACACTTCCGTAGTTCTTTCTATCGGTGTGTTCGATCTAGAAATCATAGTTTTCGGATGTTTAACGTTTAACTTAAACGTTGCCTTATAGTGCGGATCGACCAGACAGGGAAACATTTTCTGGGCATAATTCAGGCGCAAATAAGTGGCGACAAATTGGCTAGAAATAATTAAATGAATGCAAACAAAACGCTAGTAGTATATCACGTAACGCGCGAATTTCAATGAAAATGAGAGAATCTTTCGAATGAGTGCATAAATGAATTATTTACTGCGCTTGTCCTTCGGAGTCAATGTATTCGTTCCTAAAGAAGCCTGAGGTTTCGTTGGTCGTCAAATTACCCATATAATTGATATCCAGTTCTATTCTATCTCCTTCCTTCAACATTTGTTCCAAATGAATGACATACCAAAATTTTTTCCACGTTGGAAGTTCGGTTTTTGCGACATTGATCTCCAAAGGTGGCGGACCACTTTTTCAATGAGAAAGAAAGAAAAGATAATCGTAAATTTTTCAAAATTCTCATGCGCAAATTATTTTTCAATAGGATATTTTTTCATTATTATCTTACGTCTCTTCCGATTTCAATTCTCTGATCCTCACGTCGTTCGATATTTGAAGGTCCGGATGAGCGTTCACTGTTATTCTATCCAACATATCCATACACGTTACGTTTATTTTAACACGACCCTTGAATTTACCTTCATCCATTAAAGGTTCGATCTCCAAATGATAACTACTTGGAATAACTTTTTCCGGCAATCTATGCTGATGTGCGGTATAGTGATATATGTCGTTTAAATCGATACTGCGTTTCCATTTGTACGGTACCTGGATGATACATCGATGAATTTATTAAAATCGTATACACAAGGAAAAATAAAATATACCCTATTGATTGAATCTATGATAAGCTCGAACATCTATTATCCACTCACGATATTAGAAGATTTGCCTTCCTTCGATAGAATAGAAACGAGGAATATTCCAGCGACGATCGCCTTCCACCACATGTCGAGGCCTTTGATATAACCGATCCAATGAATTTTAATCTCAGCTCGTTTGACGGTTCGATCATAGAAAAATTCTAATTATTGAAAATCTAACGGGCTCTTGTACGATCTCTTTAATTATAAGTTACATGCGTCGTTAGGTTCTCTTTTAGCTTTTATTTTTACTTCTTTTTGTTTCTATATTCCCTCTTTCTTTCTTTCTTTCTTTCTTTTTTTTTTTTATTTCCTTTCGTTCCTTCTTTTTGTTTCCTCTTTTTTTTTTTTTTTTTCGTTTTTCTTTTTTATCGGTACAATCTCACCGAAGTTGACCTTGAGGCGATAGGCACTCTCATAAACTAAATAAATTTCCTTCTCTTGGCTTAGGAACCTTATGGAACCATAGCCATCGTTGGACTGTCGTATCGAGTACTCTTCCTCGTATCGTACGCTCTCTATGATGGTCGATCGGTGGTCACTTGGAGGGTAAAACGAATGTTACAGAAGATGGTGAGGAGGATGGTGATGAATAAGAAAAATGTCAGGAGGAGAAAAAAATACGTGTGTACCGCGTGATACGATCTTCTTATCCGTAAGAAGAGTAAGAGCGAGATAGAAAGATAGAGGATAGATAGATAGGTAGATAGATAGATAGAGAGAGAGAGAGAGAGAGAGAGAGAGAGAGAGAGAGAAAAAGAGAGAGAGAGAGAGAAAGAGAGAGTACAGATTGGAAACGCTTAGGTCCACTTAGCGAGGAGCCATAATAGATCGTCCATTATCCAATTCTCTGACATAGTCGTCACAAAAGGGCCTAATCACGTTGGTATCCGTCGACGACGGATGAGAAGAAACAACGTCAATAGCCAATCCTAAGAACGTCAATGATAAACGAGAGTTCTGTCATTGGAAACATTGCATCCTTCTTCCATCTGACTCGATTTCAACATTGTTTTCCCCTTAAGAGTTGACTTGGACTATCACCTGTTTCATTCGATCCTCAGAATAGCATTCGAGTTAGCGATAAAGTATCCTGGATCAATCTCAACTTCTTCCTTAACACGAATGATAATTAAATTTGACTCGATTTATCTGTCATCTCGTTTAAATGGGTCAAACCTTTCGATGTTCTTCTTATCAGTACCAATAGGAGCAAGTACATGTGTACTTGCGTATACATACCTGAATAAGAAATAATTTTTGGATGGGTTCGAAATAAATGAACTTTTTATAGTTTATACAAAGCTTGGATCTTAAATAAATTCATCGAATACTTTTCATATGTCCTCGTATAGAATGCCGACGAATACCAATTGTCTTTGTATTATCTTTCATATATTAATTGTTCAAAGATGATGTAAACGAGTTAGCAAAGTGCACCCTACGTGTGACATCACGCTTTATAATATTGAACTTGAACTGTGTATACCGATTAGCACAATTATAAGGTAACGACGTGCAATGACTGATACATCCGTTGAGACAGACACGCCTCCTTGTTCGACGAGCGGACACGAACGACCTTGCGTAATATCTACGGAAAAAAGGAAAAGAGGAAAGAGAAAAAAATAAAATGAAAGAAAAAAAAAAAAGAAAAAAAATGGCACGTTTCTTATACGAGAGAGAAAATAATACATCATTGGAATTATCCGTTTATTTTGAAGCTTTTTCGTTTTAGATATTTTTGTATTTTTCTTTTTTTTTTTTTTTTTTTTTTTTTTGTATTAAATCGTTCAAACAATACAAATGAAGCTGTGTCATCATTATATCCGAAATTTCTTTTCTATCGCGAAAATGACATTGCTCTTGAACAAAAAAATAGAAAAGAAAAGAAGAAAGAGAAAGAAACGTTGTTAAAATATGAAAAAAACAAAACAAAAAATGTACATCGCACGAACGAAGACGTATCTTTTTATTCGTAATTTTCTTTTTTGTCGCAAAAAAATGATTTCGCCCTTGAAAAAAGAAAAAAAAAAGAGAGAGAGAGAGAGAGAGAGAGAAGAAGAAAGAACAGAGAAAAGGAAGGAAGGAAAATGAAAGAAACATTGTTAAAACATATATCGCGTTAACAGATACGATACATACGCGTTGGGGAACGGTCGAGCGAAAAAGGAAATCGCATTTTCTTTTTTTTTTTTTGTTTTTTTTTTTTTGTTTTCCTTTGTACGTATAGCCGAAAGAATGAATTACTATTTTGTGACAAGCCTATCGGAAATAATAGCATGACCAGGTAAAGAGAGGAACGACATCGGAGCGAACGCGATTAACAATAGTGGGGGTAAAGCCTGCAACCGTGCCCGGCGAACAGCATCCACGTAGTATCGAGGCCTCAGGTAAAACGTCAAATTGCGTTGCACCTGAACGCACGAGTCCACGACGACTACAACGACGATTACTACTAGCCGCCCGTTCGTGAATTTTTTTTTTTTTTTTCTTCAATTTTTCTTCATCTCTTCTTCGTCGAGGAAAGGGGAAAGAGAGAGAGAGATAGAGAGAGACAGAGACTGAGACAAAAAGAAACAGAGAGAGAGAGAGAGTGAGAGAGAGAGAGAGAGAGAGAGGGAGAGAGAGAGAGAGAGAGATAGAGAAAAAAATTATATTTCTTTTTTTTCTTTTTTTTTTTTTTTTTTTTTCATTTTCATTCAAAAGTTTATATTAAAAATCAGAAGCAGACATGAGACGAGGATCGGTATCGACTTGGGAAACTTTTGGAAGGAGAAGCTGTGAGTATCGTTCGCATTTTTTTTTCTTTTGTCGTTGTTGATTTTTTTTTTTTTTTTCAATTGGATTCTTTTTGTCTTCTTTCCTTTGTTTGTTACGTTTTAATTCGTTCTTCTTTTTTCCTTTTTTTTCTTCCTTTTTTTTCTTTCCTCTCTCTCTCTCTCTCTCTCTCTCTCTTCTTTTTCATGATTTTTCATTACGCTTTAGAATGTTTTTCATATCGTAGTAATAATACCGTATAGTTTCGTAATAATTATTTCTATTCGCTTACGAATGTAAGGTAGTTTCGTGATTGTCAATGTTTAATTTTAATAGACCGGACGTTATAAATGCGCAGATTTTTGTCTACGACCGACAGTAAAACTTAGGACGACTGTACGTTGTGTTATTATTAATCCAGGTAAAAAAAAATCTTTCGATTTCAAATACTTACGTACGTTATCGCATCGAATTTTGTTATTTCATTATTATTATTATTATTATTATTATTATTATTATTATTATTATTATTATAATTGTTATCATTATTATTATTATTATTATTAAATTGTTTTCGCATCGCGAAAGAGAAAAGAGAGAGGGAGTAGATATAATGCGAATATTCGTTTCTCTTTCGTTGTGGCTTCATTTTGTTCTTATTAAAAAAGTAGTCTCGGAGTTCTCTTGAAAAAGAAAAAGAAAAAGAGAAAGAAAAAGAAGAAAAAAAAGAAATAAGTTCCATTCAACTGTTTACAAAGTTCATCAGAATCGCGAGCGTTATTCGAGCTCCTTGGTTAATACCATTATTATTCTGGAAGTCCATAGAAAAGCGGAGAAATGTGTATCGCTGTTAACGAGGGTCTCGCTTATAATTGCGGGATTGCGCTTTCTCTATTTCTTTTAGTTTCGATCTTCTTTCCTTGCTTTGTTTCTTCCATTTCTTTTTTTTTTCTCTCTATCTTTCTTCCCTTTCTTCCTCTTTCTCCTTTATTTTTCTTTTTTTTTTCATTTCTTTGGAATATTGTCCTTGTTATATTCACGCTCTGCTTTTCGCGAATTTCTCTCTCTCTTTCTCTCTCTTTCTCTCTCTTTCTCTCTTCCTTTCTTTCTCTCTTAGAGAAAAGATAAAAAAACTTCCATAATTTTCTTCGATTCGATTATCGATATACGACTTCGGCTGAAAGACAAAATTGTCAATATTTTTATTTTAACAATTTGCTATTTTTTTAAATTTATATTAAAAGTTAGATGAGAATATGTGTTAAAGGTAAAAGTGAGTGAACGTGTTGTAACACGTATTTATGAGAAAAAGAAAAGAAAGAAAAAAAGAAAAAAAAAAAAAGAAAAGAAGAAAAAGAAGCAGCATCGTTAAAAACGTCAAAGTTACACTTTGCATCGTTGCGACCGTCTATTTACGCTTGGATCACGTTCGGTGATATAACAAAGAACCTAATTTCATATCATTCTTCGTGTTCGCGAGCAAACGCGAGCGTACGTTTCTACGCGAGTTTGTAAAGCTACAACGATATGACGCTTACGAACCTTCGACGATGAACATCGACGTTATTGTAATTCTATGTGAATATACATACATGTATATATATATATATACATAGATAAATAGAGAATAGGATTATGTAAAAGGATCTATAGTGATCGAGCTCTTTTAGCTTCACAGTTTTTATTTATTTTTATTTACTAGTTACAGTTACGACTCGATTCGTAAATGTAAATGATAATTTCTTAAAATAATAATGAAAAACAAAGAAAATGAAAAGAAAAAAAAAAAAAAAAAGAAATAGTCTAATAATGTGCATTGCTATGGCATAATGGTTATGCTATCGAATGCTGAGAATGCGAACTTGCGCATTGTTAAAATATACACAAGTAAAGTGAGAAGAGTATCGAGGAAGACCTTGAAGTTCGTCGGTCGAGGCTCGTTTACGTTCATCGTGCATTTTACACCACTGGAAATTGAATTCGATGATGTCACTCTTGTCAAAGCGATAACGCGAAATTCGACATGCCGGATTGATAAGAATGGCCTCAATGACTCGATTCTCATTGCACGAACGATTTCATGCCGCTAATCGCTGAACCTTTATTTCTCTTTTTATTTTTTTTCTTCTTTTTTTTCTTCTTTTTTCCTCTTTCTTTTTCTCTCTTCTCGTTCTTTATCTCCTCCGTACGTTTATTATTGTTCTCGTTATTAATCGAATCGTGTATAATAAATTATTAATTTTTTTTCTTTCCTTCTTTTTCTTTCTTTCTTTTTTTCCTTTTTTTTTTTCAGCTGCAAACATGGCACAGTATATCGGGGGACCTGCACAATTTATGACAAGCGACGATATCAAATACAGACCAACCGATGGTTGGTTTATATCATACAAAAAAGCGACCAGTATCGTAATATTTATTATTTTTATTCTGATCGTTGTTGGTCTAATCGGTTGGTACGGTCATACGACGCCGACAAAACGAGTAAGCGAGTCTAATGATAATTTTATTTCTTTCGTCGATCATTGGGATAATGATCATAAGACGTATGTAATTTTAATTAATCGATCTTGTCATTATTGCAGGTGCACGACGCATTCAGTTTGATAAACGGCGAATCGACAAAAGAAATGGCTAAGCCCAGTCATATTTCTTCACACATTCGTCCATTAAAATATTGGCTTTATTTTAAACCTACGATCATGGATTACGATAATAATAATAATAATAATAATGATAGTAATAGTAATAGTAATAATAATTCGTCCGTATTAATGGGACGAGTTGTTATAAAATTTGAAATTGATTCTTCGAATCGATTGCAAAAATTATCATTGAACGCTATTAATATTACAATGAAACAATACGAGTTGTCACTTTTGATCGACGAGGATTCCGAAGTACCTAAGAAAAGATATAAGAGAGAAAACGAGACTAACGTTATCGTTAAAAGCATTGAAAATGGTATTAAAATATTTGATGATATTTTTTATAGGGGGCATTGAATTTCTAGAAATTTTTTCGTTTTCTTGTATTATTTTCCTTCTTTTTTTTTTTTTTTTTTTTTTTTCTTCAAATTCCAACTCTACGATTCAATAATTTCTTATTTATTTTCGATATATTCACAGAAAACGATACAACGTCGGACGATAAAAATTCTACGATCGTGTCTATGGACGAATCGAATAAGGTTATCGTAAACTTAGAAAACGATCCTAATATCCCTTTAGAAAATGGAACAACCTACGGGGAGGAAGAAACTGGACTTGTCCCGGCAAATGGCACTTTGCCGTTCGACTTCAAAGTGTCCAAGATCAAAGACGACTGGTTTTCCGTGAATGGTATAGGAAAGGGAGACGAAATCGTTCAGATAAAGGAATACGAAATAGACCAAGTGAATGGACTTCACGTGATACGTCCAACGGAAAAGTTGAAACGTGGTGTTTACTTTTTGATGATCGATTTCGAAGCAAATCCAACGAACGATGTCTTTTACGTCGTTGATTCGAGTTTCAACGAAGAGAATAAGTAAGTTGGCGAGATTGGAGGAGGGTGTGTGTGTGTGTGTGTGTGTGTGTGTGTATATATATATATATATATAGGGATGATAGGTGAGTGAGATAATAGCGATTTTTTTTCTTTTTCTTTCTTTTGTTTTCCTTTTTTTTCTCTTTCACATTTATCCCATTTAATTTACAATTTATTTCTCTTCGTGATTTTGAGTTAAAAAAGCAAAAAAGAACAAAGATCTTGTTTGAACGATTAGGAGGATGATGGGAACGTTATTAAAAACGGCAGGAGCCAGTCGTTTATTTCCTCTTTTCGACGAGATATACCTCAGAGCGATTTTCTCTTTATCCGTTGAACGTCCCAAGGAGATGAGAGTATTATCGAATATGCCTTTGAGGAGTACGAAGGATGCGTAAGTAAATTAGTTAATGATATATAGCGTTCGCATTATCGGAAAAGATTTCTTTCCTTTTTCTTTTTTTTCCCCCTTTCTTCTTCGTCTCTCCCTTAAGAAAGAATATTATCGTTTAAGTTCAGATAATTGCCTGATCGATACATTCAACGATACACCCCCGATATCACCTCACAATTTGGCATTCGTCGTTGGTAATCTCGAGGCAGTGATTCAAACGTTGATCAACTCGAAGATATTTGTTACGTTTTGGGCCGAGTTCAATACTACTTCTCAGGGATTCTACTTGTTGAACAAAGTCGAGCCTACCATAGTTGGTTTGACCGACATATTTTCGATATCCTATTGGCTACCAAAGTTGGACTTGGTTTGTCTACCTTGGAAAATTGTTAGATCGTCGGGAAATCCTGGTCTTATCACTATGCGGTAAGTATTTACTAACGCCTTTAAATTAGTCTACTAACGATTAATTGAAGTTTCTCGAATTCTTGACGTGCACAAATCGGCTAACGCCATTCTCATGAATATTCACGATTGAAACGTGTTGCGGCATAAACGTAACTGTGTACGGTTACGCTGTACTATTTCATTTTTCGCCAAATGAATATTCATTTTAAGGAAGTCGTTGTTTTACGCCGACGATCGATCGCCCTTGGTTACGAGAACGGAAGCCTTGAAGACATTAATAGGTTTGCTCGGGGAACAATGGCTTGGCGGTCGGGTCAACGTGAAAAGTTGGACGAATGCTTGGATATTGGAAGGATCGTTACTTTATTTTCAACATCTATTGATTGAAAAGGCAAGGGATTAACCGAGAATTTCTTCTTATATATCTTTTATAATTCCATCCGATTCTTCGCGATTATTTTTTCTTTTTCTCTTTTTTCTCTTTTTCTTTTTTTTCTTTTTTTTTTCTTCTTTCTTTTTTTTGATAAGAAGAAAAGAAATCCCTCCAGAGATAGATTTTCATGAGACACAAATTTCAGATAGATCCGTCATTGGGATTCGCTCATTCCTTCGTCACCGACGTTGAAACGAAAGCGATGGAGTCCGACGGATATGATTCCTCAAGGTCGTTCCAAGTGAAAATCAATCCACTTCGCATAAGATTGTTATCCATGGCACGTAATATGAGAGGTAAAAAAAAAAGAAAGAAAGAAAAAGATAAAAAGAACATTTTTTTTTTTTTTTATCATCCATTCTGTTAGATCTCACAGTTTCTTTTCTAAGACGAATCTTCTTCTATCTTTCAATTGCTTCTTTTTATAGGAGCATGTCTGATTCGCATGTTGCATGCCACGATAAGCAATGATACCGCCTTTAGGATCGCCTACAAGAAGCTCCTAACGAGGTAGTGGGTATATAACGTGTAAGATGCATGTAAATGATAAATCAATTCTTAGATTTGTTTCTCTCTCCCTCTCTCTCTATCTCTCTCTCTCTCTCTCTCTCTGTCTCTTTCTCTCTCTTCGATAATGATGTCATTTTTTTGGCATTTTTTTTGTTCTGTTTTACCTAAAAAAAAAAAAAAAAAGAAAAAAAAATAAAGAAAGAAAGAAAAAAAGGACGAACGTAGTAAAAACTTCGTTTCGTTTATTTCAAACAATAATATTTCATAGATCATTAATATTTGCGTTTCTAGTCAAGACGACGGAAGCATCGATGCAACGGAATTTTGGAATTTCATGAACGAAGAAGCAAAAGAATTTCCGGATAACTTATCTCCGAAAGAAATAATAGATACTTGGATTTCTCAGACTGGATATCCTCTCGTTACCGTTTTGAGGAATTATGAAGAAGGATCTGCCATCGTCAGACAGGTTTCTTTATCCAAGGATTTCACTTTTTCATTATATATGTATCCGGTGTATAAATAAAAATGAGTAACGTCGGGACAATATTATTATCGTAGAAAAAGTTTTCTTACGATGTGCCAACGGCGGAAAGGAATGATTTATGGTATATACCTTTGACTTATGTTGGAATTGATGACGATTGGTCGAGTCCTAAGAAGGAATGGCTCGAAAAGGAAAGGGAACAAATCTTTTACAACGTTAGTACGATCGATGAAAAAAATCAAACTGGTTGGATCTTATTTAACGTCAACAAAACTGGTTGGTAAATGTTTGTTAAAAAAAAAAAAAAAAAAAAAAAATTAAAAGAAAAGAACAAAAACAGCAGAAAAGAAAGAAAGACAAGAAAAAAATTTCGATACTTTCTTTCGATTATTATTATTATTATTATTATGATTATTTTCTTTTTATTTTTTTTTTTCTCAAAATTAAATCAAATTCGTAGGTTACTATCGTGTTAATTACGACGAAAAAAATTGGCAACTGCTCGCAATGGCATTGGATGAAAATCACGAAGCTTTCCCAGTAGAGACAAGAGCATCCCTCGTGGACGATGTCTTTGCTCTGGCAGCAGTTGGCTCTTCGAAATATGAGACGGCTTTTGGCTTTATTAAATATATGCAAATTAAGGAAAGACATTACGCACCATGGAGCGCTTTCGCGCATCACGTTTTCAAATTAAATAACGTTCTTTATGAGACCTCCGCCTTCCTCGACTTTCAGGTAAGCGTGAGAGTGTAAATTGAGGGAAGATGTAAAATGATGAAAATTATCACGAGCCCGTATTTAAGTTTGTCTTTAGACTACAGAGATATAGATAGATAGATAGATAGATAGATAGATAGATAGATAGATAGACCGAGAGATAGAGAGAAAGATAAAGAGAGAGAGAGAGAGAGAGAGAGAGAGAGAGAATGAAAGAGTCTAATCAGCAACATTCAACGAGAAAAATGAGAACAATGAAATAGAATTTGTAAAATTTGCATTAGCATAACTTTTCTTTTTATTTTTTTCTCTCTCTCTTTTTTATTTACTTAAGTTTTCTCTTTCTTTCATTCTTCTTCTTTTTCACTCTCGAAGAAAATTTTTTCAACCCGACACGATTCACTTTTCAGGAATTTCTACAAAAATTTATTACGCCATTGTACAACGAGGTGACAGAGAAACTCGAGGAAGGATCACCGCTTACGTTATTCGCTGTAAAATTAGCATGTCTTTCGGAACATTCGAAATGTCTCGATTGGGCCAAACAAAGTTTCGTCGAATTAAAGAGAAATCCATCCTTCAAGCACACGTAAATATTTCATATAGAAAAATGAAATAAATTTGGATAAGTTATGAGCTCTTAAAGAAAGAAAGTTTACATTTATTTATATAATTATTTATTCATGATATTATTGAATTAAAGATATTAATTTGTCTTTTGATAGTACGAATACTATAGTTATTCTTTTTCTTTAACTTTAATCAAGTGAAATTATTCTCAGGATTCCAATGTACATACGTCGAACGTTGTATTGTACAATCGCAAGGCATGGTGGTCATGACGAATGGAATTATTTTTATCAAAAAGCACGAAACAGTATGAAAACTGAAGAAAAATATAATCTTTTGTCCTCCTTCGGTTGTTTCCAAATTCCTGGTGTTCTTCAGTCGTAAGTAATATTCATTTATATTGAAATAATTTCTTACAGATATTAATTATAATATTTTAGAATCATCGATGAGATCCTTCAGGATGATATATATAACGACGATGAAATATGTATGATATTAAAATCCTTTTCAAGGAATCCAATTGCATCTCGAATGGCTTATAAATTTATTATGCTTAATTGGAAGAATATACTGAAAAGGTATTATCGAAGTTTTAATTTTGATTTAATAACTATTAACATTTCTCACCTTATATTATTTTAAATCTATTACAGATTTCATGATTCTTATTCGATAATAAGGTCCTTCATCCTGGCGATGATGAATAGTGTTACGAACGAACAGGATTTAATGGATGTACGTATTATAGAAAATTTCTTTCTTTTTTTTTTTTTTTCTAACGACTATAATAAATTCAAATCGTACGATTTTCCTTCTCTTTTCTCATGTTTTAGCTTCACACCTTTTGGGAAAGTAATTATGAATCCATAAAGACTATTAAATATGCTGCAGCTTTGGTCGAGGCTAAAGCGAATTTTGCAATTTCGTTGATTAAAAATTATTCCCAGGATATAAAGGAATGGTTAAAGGACAATAATGATTCGGGTGTTTAATTCGCGAGAGAAAGAAGAAAAAAAAGGAAGAAAGAAAGAAAGAAAGAAAGAAAGAAAGAAAGAAAGAAAGAAAGAAAGAAAAAAAAACCAAATATTTCGAGAATTTATATTTTTTCATAGAGACGAGCCAAGTCTTTCCGTGGTAATGAATTCCACGAGACATTGAGATATAAGACTTTTATGATAGCACCATTGTCACATAAATCTTGTGAGATTATTAGATCAACAGAAAAAGAAAAAGAAAAGAAAAATAAGAAGAAAAAGAAGAAGAAGAAGAAGAAGAAAATAAATGTATATAAAAGGATCATTTATCCTTTTATTAGTTGAAAGGACGGAAAGAAATTGGTAGAGAAAATTACGTGAACTTTCTACGACAACAAGTTTTATTCTCCGAATGCTTTTCTCAAAGCATGATTACAAAACCAAGCAACAAGAATCTCGTCCTTACATCGAGTAGCCTTAGGATGATAGTCGTTAATATAATATTATTTTAAATAGGTACATATTTAACAAACGATAGGTAATATTGTATCTAACGATAATAATCATTACTCAAATAGTTTACCGTTTATTCTTTTTCCTCATTGTCCTCATTTTTCTTTTCTTTTCTTTTCTCTTTTCTTTTTTTTTTTTTTCTTTTTTCTTTCTTTTTCTTTTCTCCCTCGTTCTTTCTCATTCATTCTCGGATAATAATGTGCTATTGCTATTACGGTACAATAGTTAACTATATTATCATCGTTATAATAATAATCTATCATATCACTTACTCCCACGCTCTTTCCTTTATCCGGGTCCTCTACCTTTCAGCTAAGTTTTTATTTATTTATTTATTTTTTTTTTGTTCTTTTTAATTATTGTTTTTTTTTCTTTTTTTTCTTTCTTTCTTTCTTTCTTTTCCTTTTTTTTTCTTTTTTTTTTTTATTAATTAGGACATTTCATATTAAATTCTACGTTCACGCAACTCACTTCGAAGACGTGTAAAATGACGATCGTGATCCTCTCATTTCATCTCTTTTGCCAAATCAGAACACGGATGTCAATTTGTATAATTAGTAAAGGAATTAATTAATTCACTTCTTCCTTCCTTTTATCTTTTCTCTCTCTTTTTTCTTTTTTTTTGTTTTTTTTCCCTTTTTTTTTTCCTTGTCGTTTCTCAACTTCTGTCAATGAAAGGGTGCGCGTATTTTCTTTTTCTTTTCATTCAACTTCTTACACGCTCTTTTTTTGTCCTTACTTCGTTTTTGTTCTCTCTCTCTTTTATCCCTTTTCTTTATTTATCTTATTGTCCGTTTGTTTCGCTTAATGTTTTTTTTTCTCTGCATAAGATTACTATTTTACATTTGTTTTTCCCTAACGATGTCTTTTAAACATAAAAAAAAAAAAAAAAAAGAAAAGAAAAAAATTCCTTTGATACTAAATTTATCTGTACAATTTCGTGCATTTGAGATTTTAGAGATAGAATAAAATGATTCTGATGGTGAAAATGAGATTCGTGAGTATGTTTCATTGAACAATTTTTTCTTTCCTTTTCTTCTTTTTTGCAAACATCCGCGTTTTGATCGTTTCTTTTTGGAACTTGCGTCACTTGAATTTAAATAAAAATCGACACTCTTTTCTTTTCTGTTTTTGTTTTTCTTAATGCCGTAAATCGAGCTTCGAAAAAGTGTCATTTCATTTGTGTGAATTCGATCGAATAATAATAATAATAATAATCGTAATTATTATTAATATTCGAATAGGTTTGATCGCGCCATCGCGATAATATAATCGTAATCGAAGATCACGAAAATCGATCACGGTGTAAAAGATCCATGACAATCGTAATTTAATAATCGTTTGTCATATCGATACGATCGAATTTTTCTTCGGGGATAAATCGATACTTCGTTTTTCTTTTCTTTTCTTGTTTTCTGTTTTTTTGCTTTCTTTTTTTTTTCTTTTCACTTTTTATTAAATGGCGAGACAGAGACAATGAGAAAGAGAGGGAAGGAATGCGCATATGCGTGACCGTGTATTTATGCATGTGTCTGTAGTGAACGATTTTTTTTTTTTTTCGTGCAAATGATCCCTTGGATTTGATCGATTATAAAAAAATTTCAACCATTTTATAGCATATACTCGACTTACAAGGTATTGTTATTTCCTTTGTTTTTTTTTCCTTTCTTTCTTTCTTTCTTTCTTTCTTTTTTCGCTATTTACACATTATTTACAGCTTAGCGATTAATTAATTGATTAATTAATTAATTAATCAATTAGTTTCTTTTTTGTCTTCTTCTTCTTTTTTTTTTTTTTTGTTTTCTCTCATCTCTCATTTTCTTTCTAAAATATCTAAAATCTAAGTGCATGCCTCTCTCTTTTTCAAACGCTCAGCTCGTATTTGTGAGTTATGCTCTTCCGGGACGGGTATCTAGATACGAGGAAATTACTTTTTTACATTCGTGAATACGTGAAAATCGACGATCCTTGGATCTCGTTGGATGGGATTTATTCGATCTAGAATTTGAGATCTAGATTACTCGTCTCGGAAAGTATTATATTTTCCGTCGTCGTTCGCGAAAAAAAAACATTGTCGTACTTAATTATAACGAGTAAGTACTTACATGTCTCATTATCATAGAAAAACGTGTGCGCTTTTTTTCTTTTTTCATTTTTTCCCTTTTTTCTTTCCTTTTCTTTTACCTCCCTCCCACCCTCATTATATTTCTTTATTATTTTCTAGCGATTTAGTGCGAAGTTTTAAGTTCGTCATTCGATTTTCCTCGTTTTCTTTTAAGCAAGAGAAAGAGAGAAAGAGAGAATACTCGCGCGATCCTTCGAAAATCGATCAGTAGATCGGATTTCTTTCGTTTTCTCTAGTTTTTCCGTTCGCTGGACGATTCGTTAGTTTCAGGTAACTTTTTCATCAGGTGTTTTTACGCTCGGTGCATCGCCTTCTTTGCACTTAAGGCGATTAAAATTTAAATGAAAAAAGAAAAAAGAAAAAGAAAAGAAAAATAGAACCAAAGTAAATAGAAGAAGAAGAAGAAGAAGAAGAAGAAGAAGAAGAAGAAGAAGAAGAAGAAAGAAAAAGAAAAAAAAAGGAAAAAAAAAAAAAAAGAAAAGAACTTGTGTCGATCGTCCCCCCCTCCCTTCCCCCATATTTTCTCTTCTAACTCTCTCAGGGAAAATTCTCTATCGATCGTTCGCGACGATAAAATGAGAATTACGAGAAAACATTTTTTTTATAATGTATATATATATATATACATATATATATGTATATATATATATACATACATAATAAGTATTGGCGATGTTTCTCTTAATGGCAGTAATTATGAAAATCGATATCGGTCCGTCCTAACAAATGTTAATTATTTACAATCCTGTGTTAACAATGTACCGTTTGGCATGGATACACGAAAATGTTCTCTTACAATTACTTCATCTCATTCTTGTTAGGTTCGAACCGCGCTTTATATGTACGTTTACGTACTCTTACTTACGTACATACGTATGTATAATTGTATAATATATAATGTATAATGTATATATTATATATGTATATGTATACTTTGAAACGTCGTAAAATTTGATGGCTTCAACTTGCGTTATGTTTTTTCGCTCTCTCTCTCTCTCTCTCTCTCTCTCTCTTTCTCCCCCTTACCCCCTTCTCTCTCAATCTCTCTCTTTTTCTTTCGAGATATTTTCGAGAATCTCACTCGAATGTTTTTCAACTTTCACGAACGAGTTACGATTGTTTCTTTCTCTTTGAATTCTTTGTCAACGATTAACAAAACGCGAAGTTGAGAGTTTCACGACGAATCATTCTTCGACGCGTAATGTCACATTCGTCAGCATAGGGCGAATGTCAGTTCACTCTTATCAGGCATAACTAACAATTATTATAAATATCATAAACCACAATACAGTAATTTTATCATACATATGTTTCCTTATGCGTTTAATGTGTGTGTGTGTGTGTGTTTTTTTTTTATAATCGTGTGCGCATTCACATATTACATCGTCGTATGTATAATGTTCTTTTATGTATATCTTTCTGTTTTAATGTGTGCATATGTGAGTGAGCGAGCGAGAGTGTGTGTGTGTATGAATAGCTAAAAAAAAAAAAATTTATGAACGACGACTCACTGTGACATCGACCACGAAACTACGGTATTGAACAACGGTAGTGAACGTTCGTTCAATTTGTCTACAACTATCAGCTTTAGAATTCGTATGCTTTACTTGTTCTTACCGTACTATAATCGGTTATCTTTATTCTAATGCTTCCTTCGCGCATTGCATCCGATTCGTCCTTTCTCTTTTTCTCTCTCTTCTTTCTTTCTTATAAAATACAAGAACAAGGAATAAGTTATTATATTGCACCGCGATTATCATATTTTAACTTGAGAGATTTTATTAATATCGAAAATCGTATCCTTTTTATTTTCTTTCTTCTTCTTATTTTTCTTTTTCTTTTTCTTTAATCGTAAAAGGAATATAGGAAAATCGCGGTGCAATTAGTTATTCTTGTCTCGATTATTTTCTTAAAACGTACGATATACGTAATATGTATGCTTGCATCGTATGTATGTATGTATTTATTTATTTATTTATTTATTTATTTATGTATAATTCGTACAAACGGATACGTCCCTAAACGTTTATGAGAATAATCGGATACAGTTGAAATAAATTACACCCTATGTGTTCGTGTACAATTACAACGAGCTAGCTAAGTCGTGTTACACAATATTAATTTATTTCTAATATATATATATATATATATATATATATATATATATATATATATATATTTTATTTCTCGTGTGTCGCGCGTGTGTTTCGGCGTATAAAACATAATAATCATTAACGTTGAAGTCCGTTTATCATTATCGCTTCGTCCTCTCGTCGGATTCTCAAAAGCGCCTCCTCTCATCGTAAATCATTTCTCGGGGAGACGTCGAGAACAATTGGTAGAGCGAGATGACACTTGTGGGCTCGCTAATATAATACTATAGTACCGTTTAAAGTAGCTCGCTGTTAATTTACTCGAATAATTAAGTGGCAGCTTCGTATTAACGCATTACACGAGCACGCTACATATAAGTAATAACACGTTGCTCTTTCTCACCTTCTCTTCTCTCTTTTTTCATGTAATTATTACTAGTTGAATAATTTCTTTTTTTTTTCCATCATTCTTCATCTTCTTCTTTCTTTCTTTTTTTTTTCTTTTTTATCTTTCCTTTTCTTATATTTTCTTTAAATCATCGCTGTCATACGTACCTCGCGAGAAAAGTGGAAAAATTCCATTCGATGGATGATGATGGATCCTGTGGATCGATGGATCAAATGTCCTTGGAAATGGAAGAGTATAAAATGAAAGAAATGAGTGAAGTGAGTGAGTAACTGTGTTAATGAATGACAGAGATAGATAGATAGATAGATAGATAGATAGATAGATAGATAGATAGAGAGAGAGAAAAAGGAAGAGATAGACAGAGAGAGAGAGAGAGAGAGAGAGAGAAAAAGTTCACACGTGCGGATGTGTTTGTTTCTCTCGCGTATGGATGTTAGTCACTTAAAAACATTGCACAGATTATCGTCGTTTCGTTCGACGATAAATCGAGCCCTATCGCCGTAAAAAATGGTGGAGACCGAGGATCAGGTTGAAAGATATTTCGGAGACTCCTAAAAGATCAGGAAGGATAATCGACGAAGTCTACCGAAGTCTACGTCGTCGGCCCTTTAGTTTTTCTCTACGGTGCAGGGCTCGGGCATGGACTACTGGGGTGGACACTTTACCACTGTCGTCGTTGCGAATTCACTGAATTTCTTGTCGATCGGGACACGATCGTCATACAACGTTGGCGCTTGTAATATAATTCCGGCTGTACCAACCAGAACGGCCAGTGTGAAGATCCAAAGAAATAATCTGTCTAGGACCATCGCCACGTATTTCCAATCCTCCTTAACCTGTCGAATATGAAATTATATTTTGTGAGGATTTTTCTTTTTTTTCTTTTTTTTTTTTTTCTTTTTTTAGGATACTTTCATGTGGTAGCTGCGATAGAAGTTGTAAGAGCGTCGATCAGTGTGACGTTAAAAGTAAAGCTGCTCCTTGTTATTTAATTGATCATACAGTAAACATCATAGCTCTGCACGTAGCTACAATGTAAATAATTTCATTGTAAAACAATATTTAATATTTCTTACGCTCCGTTCTTCGTCATCGTTATTTTTATCATTCGTTACAGCTTCCAACATAAACGTATCCATTAAAATGTTATACTTCGAATTACATTGGTACATTTGATTTTTATATTAATGCGAATTAAAGTTTTGCAATAGTATTATTTAATTTATCGTTATGATTTAAGTTTTACTTCTATTAAAAGTATTCTTGCGATCGATAGATGCGATCGTTTCACCTTGGTTGAATCCTCCAACATTTTCGTATGTTCAGCGATGAATCGGACGCATATGCAGGATCTATGAATTTCCGGGGGACAACGTGAATGCGAAAAAGCCGGTGGATTTCTTAATACTGGACTTTTAACTTCCTCGATTCCTCCCTCGCCAGGTACCGAAAGATCCTCGCACTCGCCACGAATAGGAAGGGGCGGTAAAGGTGGTCCATGGATCAGGCAGCTTCCACCGAATCTCGCACCGTCCGTTAGACTTTTTTTTTATTTTTTTTTTATTTATTTTTTTTTTTTTTTTCATTTTTTTTTTCATCAATTTTTTATTTTTGTTATTTTTTTATTTTTTTCGTTCCCCAAGAAACAATAAAAAAACCAAAAAAACACAAGATATTTTATTAGCATCCTTATTTTAATAATCTACGTTCATAATGAAACTAAGACAATTGACCTAACATATACGAATTATCATCTATTAGAAAGGACGACGTTTATTGGTCCTTCGTAAGTAATTAATTATCGTTTAATCTGATAATCGTTCCTTCGTTAAACTTTATAGTGGCAATATATATCGTTATTCAATAAAGCTTAATAGATTTTATCGATTAGCGATGCATTTCAATATAAATTAAAGAAGGTATCGCATGAAAATTGGTGAAAAATTTCGCGAATCGATAAACCGTTGTTCTCTCTATCGATCGATATTATTTGGTCATCGATCGATACATCTATCCCGTTTGCTTGGCCCTTCTTTTTTTTTTTTCCTAATCAATTTCATTCCCAGTGCAAGCTCTCTAACGGTGTAGATAGTGAAAGTGATGTGCACTTTTTTTCTTTCTTTTTTTTTCCTTTTTTTTTGTTTTGTTTTTTCTTTTCTTTTCTTTTCTTTTCTTGAAACAAGGCAAAAAAATCCCGCGAGAAAAGAGTGCACGAGTGATGCGTCTTATTTTCGTTTATTAAAAGAAATATTTAATTAGTAGTTTTCTTTTTTTTCTTTCTTTCTTTTTTTTTTTTTTTTTTTTTTTTTTTTAATTCGATCGATTATTACGCATCATTAATGAATATTGCAAGCGTTCATATTTTTTTATCGACGCGTTCGTTACTGTCTACTTCTCGTCATGCATATACGCTATAATTACGTGGATTCTCTTGGAAATTTTTTCGACAGGAAATTTTTTTACCTCTTTTTTCTCGTCTTCTTTTTTTTCTCTTTTTTTTTTTTTTTCAAATTTTATCAAATATTTTCAGGCAATTACCGAAAATTCTAATAATAGATTATTAGAACAAAAAATGTATCAATTGGAGAGTTTCATAATTACGAATTATTTTCAAATGAATATAATCTATAAGTAAAATATTCGATACGAAATAAGAATTTATGATTGGCAAAGGGGAAAAAGTGTCGATAGTGTAGATCTTAAGAGGTAGAAATTCTTTTTCATCCCTTTTTCTTCGCTCCGAATCGAGTTTCTCCGAACGTCGTAAAAGTTTGAAAACGCGTTACAGCTTTTTCTTTTTTCTTTTTTTTTTTTTTCTCTCTTCACCGTAGCAGCAATATCACATCGGCAACGAGAGACTCCCCTACGTAGAGAAACTCAGTTCTCAGGTTAAATTCAAGTCTGAACTTGGCTCACATTGGAAACTCGTAACTTCGTTAAGCTATTGACTCTTCGATTATTAAGTTTCCTTGGATATATCGAGCTTCGCGTAAACTGCTTTATACTCGGGATAATCATTTCAATAGGAAAGAAATTAACAAAGTTAATAGAGATACTCTGAGAGAAGGTCAAATTGATAGGATATAAAAGAGAAAGAGAGAGAGAGAGAGAGAGAGATTCTCTAGTCTTTCGATCGACTACTACTTAATAGCATTCGCATAGTTAATCGAATTCGTTTGGTTGCTAGCTCGATTTTCTCGGTGCTACGAAATTTTGAAAACTACTTTTATTTCGACGAGAGCGTGTTTTCGATAGCATCGAATTTACCCTGTCGAGTCCATGGGAATGAAATTGAATTTAACGTCCCATATGGGCCGTATTTAATAGCTTGGCAATTTAATTTCGATGATCGTTAAAATAATTTTTTTTTTCTGACAGAGATTGAAAGTAATAGTTTTGACGCGGCTTCAGATAAATCAATGAAGCAAAAAGGAAGATAGATAGATAGATAGAGAGAGAAGGAGGTGAGGAGAAAGAGAGAGAGAGAGAGAAAGGGATGTAACCAATGTGTTAATCGTATAATGCATTTTAGAATCAACCGTACGAATGCTCAAATGTCTACAGTTAATATCTTTAACGAAGAGTAACGTAGATACGTACATATGTACATAGTACATACGTACACAAAATGTGAAATAGATTTCAACAATAGATTCGTGTTTGTAAACGATGTGCACGCGATCATTGATACTATTCCAAACTGTAACCATGAAAATGATCACGTACGTTGGCATTGCATTCTCGATCGTCACGATTCCAAGGAACGGAAGGTTTTATTAAGTATTAAAGACTAAGGGAAAATATGAGAGAAGAACTTTCGTTTCGTCGGGATAATAAAAGTAAAACAAATTTTTCTTGAATAAAGAAAAATATTCGTCTCGTCGAGAGAAAATAAATGAATAACCATTGGTTTATCATAGAGACTCCATTCGTACTCGTTGAATATAATAAAAGTTTTTCGATCTATTCATCTTATTCCTTTTATTTTCAAAATCGAGCTGACCAACACTCGGCTGATTTCTCTCTCTCTCTCTCTCTCTCTCTGTTTCTCTTGTTCTCTTACTTGCATTTTACAAACAATTATTAGCAAAAGGCTCGAATCTATCAAATATAAGATGAAATTATGAAGAAATTCTCTCAATGAATTTTCTTATTTACCTTGAAGGCGAGAGATCCTCTTTGGAAGGTGGCCGACTGTGGAACCTCGTTGGTGTAAAATGTTCCTCGCTCTCCTCGTGAGTAGACGGATGATAAGGGTAATAGCAAGTCTTCTCCTTCCCTCTTACCGTTCTCATCAGTACTCTACCAGATGTGTACCTGCGATCAGAGAGAGAGAGAAAGAGAAAGAGAGAAAGAGAAAGAGAGAGAGAGAGAGAGAGCGAAAGGATACGAGAAAAGGAGGATAGAGAGAAGAGAAAAAGAAAGGAAAAGAAAAGAGGGGGAGGGGGGAGAGAGAAAGGAAGAGAAGAAAAGAGAAGAGAGAAAAGGAAATCATTAGAAAAGCGAAGGATTCTGTAAATACTACTTATTAGAGGCGACTTTGTCCTCGCGAAAGAAGATGGATAGGAGAGAAGAGAGAGAGAGAGAGAGAGAGAGAGAGAGAGTGACGATGATGAACGTGACGATTTAAAAAAAAAAAAGGGATGAGAGAAAGGACGTAGGAAATGAAAGAAAGGAGTGAGAAAAAGTGTAATGGCAGCCATTATTCATCATTAAGCGTACAAATCTCAAAGCTGCCTTTAGTATTTTCCTTTTCCCTTATTTATCCTTTTAAATCTCTCTCTCTCTCTCTCTCTCTCTCTCTCTCTCTCTCTCTCTCTCTCTCTATCTCTGTTTGACGTGTTTTCTTATAGTCCAATTTCCCTTACACCCTCCCTCCTCCTTTCTCCTTCTATTGCGTTGTCATCTCCGGTGATCGATCGATCATTACGTTGCACGTCGTGCTTACTTACCTGTTCGTCTCGAATTTATACATGGGTCTTCTCATCACCAATAAACGCGGAAGAATGTGGATGAAGACTCTTTTAACCCATGGTGCCATCTGATGCGTTTGCGGTGACCGGAAATGGACGTTAAGGACGACGACGGTTACGCATATACTGTAAACAAAATAAATTTTGTAAATAATAAATTCGATAAAATATATATTTGGCTTATAAAGTTAATCAAACGTTTATATTAATATTGTTTTATTTTATTTTCTTTTTTTCTCGATTGGCATTGTTATCAAGGAATTCATAAAATGATTACCACTATCTCATTCTTTATCGTACCATCTTTCTCTTATACAAACTGTTTCCAAGCGTCATGGAATTGAAGGAGGGTCGAACAATGGAAATCAATGGACCATTGGCATAATACAGACATTCCGTATCTCGCCCTAACTCGTTCCTCTCTGGCAATTCCGCGAATTGATCGTTAAGAGGTCGACCGATCTCTCTCTCTCTCTCTCTCTCTCTCTCTCTCTCTCTCTTTTTGAGAGAAGAAGAGCCAAGGCAAATTGCCATAAGGTATAACCGAGAATGACTGGTAAGGAAGGAATGTAAATCTCACGAGACCATTCATAATGGAGCCAGCCATTTGCCCATCGAAGGTCGTTGCTCTTTTCTTAAATGGTAAGGGACAGCTTCTGCGATTTAAATTACATCGACGCTCTTTCTTCGAATCGATTTATCGAATCGCTATCCATCTTCCCAAGTCAACCCCTTTCTTATTCTCTTATCATTCTCCTTTTCTTTTTTTTTTCTTTTCTTTTTTTTTTTGTTTTTTATTTTTCCTCCTTTTTTTCCTTCTTTTTCTTATCGTCGTTATTTCAACCCTTACAAGCGTCGCCAAAAAGGAAAGCATCGTTTTACTCTCGCAAGTCTTTTTAATATTATCTTTACATTTAGATAAAGGCGGAGAAAAAAATTAATAAGAGGGGAAAGAAAGTTAAAAGGAAAGAGAGAGAGAGAGAGAGAGAGAGAGAGAGAAAAAAACACGTGTTTCACGTCGCCGTATAAATTAGTAAAGTACAGGCGTCTGGAATGTAACCGTGCCACTAAACGTTATATTACCTCCGTTGCACACCAAAATGGTTCTATAGTAATGGAATTGCGTTATTACCGCAAGATTTAGCTGCTCGTAATTTCGAGATGGAGAGAGAGAGAGAGAGAGAGAGAGAGAGAGAGAGAGAGAGAGAGAGAGAGAGAGAGAGAGAGAGAGAGAGAGAGAGAGAGAGAGAGAGTCGAAGGAAAGGAGAGTTGAAAGGAGGTTGTAACCTACGGTACAAATTGGGCTCGAAGCGAGAAAGTAATTTCTCTCGTTTATCGTCATGCAAAATACATTAACCTAATGCAATATATATATATATATAATAGAAATAAAAATGAAAGATTTATTCGTTAATAAATTTATTAAACGCGCGATTTTTTTTCTCTCTCTTTTCAAAGATCCTAATCTAGTACGAGGATTAAGATCAAAGTTTTTCTTTTTTTCTTTTTTTCTTTTTTCTTTTCTTCTTTCCTTTTCTTTTTCTTTCTTCGAAGAAGTATCATTCATTTTAAGAAGAACGGTTTCTGATAGCTTTGAAGTTTTCGTTTTACAAGTCAATGCATAACCGAAGTGAGTAGTTTAATACTCGTTATCTACCGACCGTGTTCGTATTATTCTATCTTAATTTACATTTAAGAACTATAAGCCGTTCCCTTGAAATTTCAAGGGAAGAAAAGCTTGTCCGGACTATAGATACCTAAAGAGGAGACAGATAGAGAGAGAGAGAGAGACAGAGAGAGAGAGAGAGAGAGAGAGAGAGAGAGAGAAATGGAGATGGAGAGGAGAAGGAGAAAGAGATGCTTCTCTTCTTTGCTAAGAAAACGCGAGGGATTAGAGAGACGTGGAGGGAGGGAGCAGAGGACTCCGGCTGGATGTAGCTTGCTTGTGCTTGCTGATTAATGCGTCGTACCTCTTTCAATGTTACCAACGTGAGGAAAATTTAGAAGTTCTCTTCAGATATCAACGAAACAGCAAACACGCCAAAAGCCTTACCATATACATTACCTCTGCAAACCCTCACGGCCCTCCCCAAGTAAACTGTTTTTATTCATAGTTGCTACAGCACGTACATATACGGTAATAAGTATTTACTTCGTTTGTACAATATTTTTCTTAATTTGAATTTCTTTCCATATAGGATGACATTAATTCGAGTCTTCATTCACAATTTTTTTTTTTTTTTTTATCGAGGACCATTAATATCATAGTTTAAAAAAATTTCCTTTCGAGCTTTAATTACTTTTAACGTTTCATATAAAATCTCTTCTCTCTTTCTCTCTCTCTTTTTTTTTCTTTTTCTTTTTTAATAAATTTATTTTTATCGATTTTATTTTTTTTTTTATTCTTAAATAAAATAAATTATATATATATATTTTTTTTTGTTATGTAAAATTTCAAACACTTTCGCATGTAAGACACTTTGATCATGAGAAAAATGTCAAGATACTTTTATTATTTGATATTTTTCTACTTTTTTCTTCTTCTTCTTCGTTTTTTTTTTCTTTTTTTATTAGTAAAATTAAGGACTTCAATAAGGAAACACGAAGAGGAACAGCTATCGTTGATGCAGAAATTTTCAAAAAGGTCAAATAAAGTTTGATCATTCGAGTAGGTACGTCCTTCATCTTTCTTATTTCTCTTCTCTCTTTCTCTCTCTCTCTTTCTCTATTCTCTTTTCTTTCACGTGATCTTTCTCTTAAAAAACCATTCTTTCTCCCTCTCTCTCTCTCTCTCTCTCTCTCTCTCTCTCTCTCTCTATCGTGTTACTTCGAGCATACTTTTTGCTAAAGCTTTTCCGGTGGACCTACGGATACTGCGGGAAGCGTTCTTTTCTTCATGACTGATGGGCGACGATGATGAAGCGACTTGGAAATTTGTAAGACGGCGATTCTCCACCGTGACGTAGGAAATCCGAGCAAAAAGGTAGTAGACTCGATCGAAAACTTTTTCTTGCCAAGGCTCCTTTGAGATTCTAGTTTCGTTCTTCGATAATCCTCTCTCTCTCTCTCTCTCTCTCTTGTTCTTTTCCTCTCTCTCGTTGAATCTCATCCATAAAAAAGTTCTTTTATTCCTTTTTTTGATTGTACGTGAGAGAGAGAGAGAGAGAGAGAGAGAGAGAGAGAGAGAGAGAGAGAAAGAGAGTGAGAGAGAGAGAGATCGTATATATCGACGAAAACGTTTTAAATAATCGATTATCCGGCACGTGTTACGAGGTACAGGATTGGTGCTCCACCCGCATTGTCCAAAAAACAGTCATTCACAGAGGGATCTGTCCGTGGCAGAAGAAGGACATTAATCGATTTGTTCGGATCCTTTGACCTCTCTTGGAAACAGGATCGTTCGTTATCTATCTGTTATCGAAAGGCAATCGGATAATTTTGCTTTTTTTCATTTCTCTTTCTCTCTCTCCCTCTCTCTCCCTCTCTCCCTCTCTCTCTCTCTCTCTGTCTTTGTATCTGTCTCTTTAATGGGAATGACTTGAATCGATTCGTTCGATGGCTTAACGCTTTTTTCTTTTTTTTTTCTTTCCCTTCCCCTCTTTTTTTTTTATTCTTTGCCTTTACATCGAGGAAAAATCTATTCTTTCTATTAAAAAAGAAGAAGAAGAAAAAAGAAAGAAGAATCCTACTCTTTCTATCTATTCTTTCTTCGTTGTTTTTCTTCTTTTTCTTTCTACTATTTTTCCTTTTTTTCTTTTTTTTTTCTCTCTTTTCTTTTCATTATAAAAATTCATTAAATTTATTTCGCAATTCTATCGACATTGACGCAAAGACGTCGGTGGATGTTCTATTTTCTTTTTATTTTCCTTTTTTCTTCCGCCATTATGTTACAACGGAAAGATTTTTCTTTTGAAAGTAGATTAAAAAAAAAAAAAAGAAAAAAAAAATGGAGAAAGAAAGAGAGAGAGAGAGTGAGAGTGAAAGAGACAAGCGTAACGGCGAGAATTGGAAGACACAAAAATCTCTCAGGCAACTTTGTCGTCTCTTCTTCGTTTTAATACGCCGATCGAGCATCGTAATGGGCCCGGTGGCTAACATTCGAGCTGAGTTTTCAACTTGTTTAAACTTTCGACGCGGTCCTATCAATCGCTTCGAAAACTTTTCCTCTTCTATCCGAACGTTTCCACTCTTTTCTCCTATCACTCTTCCTCCCTCATTTTTATATCTATTTTTCTCTTTTACTATTTCCTTTTTTTCTCCTTCTTTTATTTCCTCTTACTTTTTTGTGCGTTCCTTTTTTTGTTTATGTTTTTATTTATTTTTTTTTTTTGTGTTTTTCCTTTTTCTTCCCCTTTCTCTCTTCTTCTTCTTCTTCTTCTTCTTCTTCTTCTTTCTTTTCTTCTTTTTTCATTTACATAGCCTTCTCATCTCGCACTCTTTCTCACAAATAGAAGGTAGAACCCCTTTCGAAGCCCTTTTCACAATCCTTTCCAATAGTTCTACTCGATCGAAATGACACGATTAAAAAGTTCGATACACTCGAGCAATACTATTCACTCTTACTTTTTCTCTCTTTCTCATTTTGAAAAGATTTAAAGTCAAGTACTTTAATGACTTTTCTTTCTTCGAAAAACGTTTTTCCGATAATAATTCATCTTACCCTTTTATATGATCTAAACACGTATTCTATATCCGTCATTGTGGCAGAATTGTAATTGTCGTAATTACAATATTTTTATCCTCCATTTAAATTATTCACCGATGCATCTTTCTCTCTCTCTCTCTCTCTCTCTCTCTCTCTCTCTCTTTCTTTCTGTCCCTTGTGAGAAAGCTTCCTAGCTTTCTTACTTTTTTATTGTGCGTGAAACATTTCCGTTCTTTCTATTCTTGTTTCGTACATAAGAAAATTATCCATTATTATTATTATTATTATTATTATTATTATTATTATTATTATTATTACTATTATTATTATTATTATTATCGATAATATCAGAGGAAAGTTTTTTTAAAGTGAAAGAAAATTTTTTTTTGTTTAGAAACTAAAACTTTGGACGTAACTACATAAATTTAATTGAAATTTTTGACAATACGTAATTGACATCATGAATGAATTAAAATGATAA